TGTGTATAAAGTCAGGTGTGTGTGTGTATAAAGTCAGGTGTGTGTGTGTGTGTATAAAGTCAGGTGTGTGTGCGTATAAGGTCAGGTGTGTGTGTGTATGTGTAAAGTCAGGTGTGTGTGTGTGTGTATAAAGTCAGGTGTGTGTGCGTATAAAGTCAGGTGTGTGTGTGTGTGTGTGTGTGTGTGTAAAGTCAGGTGTGTGTGTGTGTAAAGTCAGGTGTGTGTGTGTGTGTGTGTGTGTGTGTAAAGTCAGGTGTGTGTGTGTGTGTGTATAAAGTCAGGTGTGTTTAAGCAGCTTTGCACAGAACCAAAGGTTCTGCCCTATTCTCACTGGTGTGGGTCTCTAGTGGTCCAGCAGCAGCAGATTTATTGATGTGCTTCAATAATCAAGTGATGGATCAGGACATGATGTCGCTCGTCATCAATTATTTACCCGGCGGTGCAGTTGCAGTGGTACAGCGTCCTCGGCTCGGTGTTGTGGAAGCCATATTTCCTCTGATGGGGGAGGATCCTACTTCTACATTCATCGAGTTCTTTATATACGTCACATGACATCTGATCACCTGTGGGGGGTCCATGAGTGAGACTGTCCCTCCTCGGTAAGGTTTCGTTCCAAACTGAACAGTGTTAAATACCTGTAGTGTTGCTGTACGGCTCAGTCACAACTCGGCGTTTGGCAGCCAAGACGTTGTCGAGCTCGTCGCTCCCCGCCGGCGCTGTGGGTCTCCCTGGAGCCGCAGGGGTGGAGGGTGAACGGGTTGTAGCGACAGAGGCCGTCCATGTGGCGGCGGTGGTGAAGAGGAGCGCTGGCTCTGATGCGCTGATCTCTGGGAGTCGTGTTGGTGCCGTGGAGTTCACGTCTGAACACGAGCTGTTCACGCAGGCGTCTGCTGGCTGGGTGGGCTCGTACAGCGTGGGGGGGTGGACGTCCGCGTACAACGCCAGCTGAGACTTTTTACACCTGCGAGTCAAAGCAGAGCAAAAGCATGAAGAGAAGTGAAGGGGAGCAGAGTCGGACCCAAGTGAGGCTTCAGGCGGCAGCAGGTCCATGACCCAACCATGAGGGTGAGAGCTACATCTAACGGTGAACAGACCGACTCGTGTAGCAGAATCCAGACACTCCAAGCTCTTTACACCATCTTTACACCACCTGCGCCCTCGTTTACCTCCACACACACATTCAAACTGAACTACTGCAAATGACGCATAAAGTTTGACTTCCACACTGATGAACAATGACACGTACCAAAGTATGACTTCCAAAAGGATGATCAGTACTCCTACTATAGTGTGTGTTATTGATCATCCTGTTGGAAGTCAACAGTAGGACTTCCAAAGAACAAAATCAACAATCATAAGCTGGAGGTGTCTCGAAGATAATTTAGGATAACCACATTGATTTTGTACACAGCCGCTTACTGAATCAAAACTGGTCATCGACCACCAAACCATTCCATTTTATTTATAGAGCACTTAAAACAGCTACAAGGCCAACCAAAGTGCTGTACAGACAGAACAACAGGTAACACACACAGCAAAATACAAAATGAGGTAAATCAGAATATAGACATAAAAACGATGCAGATAATGATGACAAACCAGTGTGGAGCATACAGGATCAAACACAGATCATCTGGTGTTGAAAGCTGCTGAATAGTAGAGAGTTTTTAAACAGGACTTGAAAACCGAGAGGGAGGGGGCCTGTCTGACAAGC